TAATTTCAAATTGAGGTTACGTTTATCCTTAAGATTTTTTGGGAGACTACAGGTTCGATTCCAATGTAAAAATTTCCATTTTCATACTCACGTTTGAACTCTTATTTTGTATAATTTTTTTGTTTATGAAGTTTACAAATTTTCCACCATTGTGCAGGTGGTTGGGTCGTTGTTTTTTTAGCTGTAGGTGCTGCCGCTGGCGAAAGTACGCGAAAGCAGCCCGAAAACCATTCGATTTCATTCCAGAACAGGCCAAAAACGACGATGTCGAGGCTAAAAAGGGGAATCAAAGGGGCGACAGAAACAGAAGCAGTTGGCCAAAAGGAAAAGGCAAAGGCAATGGCAATGGCAAGAACAAAAACAAAACAGAGGACAGAGTGGCGCCGACTCTCGTCGCGTTTTGTTGTTGTTTAATTTTCCATTTAGGGTTGAAGGCAAGAGCGAGAGGAGATAACTTATGGGGGAGAGTGTGAGCGAGAAGGGGCGAACGGGGCCCATCCCTGTGTTTGTTTTTGTATTAACGTTAACGTTTCGTTTTCACAAGCAGCAGCAAACGAAGAAGAAGAAGAACAAGAAGAAGAAGAACAAGAAGAAGAAGAAGAAGTTCGTGACGTTTCATTTCGTTTGGCTGATAAGAGAGGGCAAAAGAGGCTAAAAGAGTGGAGGGGGAGAAGGTGAGGGGTTTGGGGAGTTGGGAAATCCCCACCGAAAAATTATCCACCCACTTGCATTCCACACGTTGTCTAGGCAAGTTTTCCATTTTGCTCTCTCCCTTTTGTTCTTCATTTCACTTTCTTTGCTCGCTCTCGACGTTTTATTTAGTCACAGAGAAAATAAGTAATTGTTTTATATGTAAATTAAAAAAAAAAAGAATATTAATCTGTACTTTTTTAATAATAAAAATCATTATTAGCTTTATTATTTTCTAGAAAAATAGAAGAAATTAAATTATAAGAAATCTGCAAATTAGATAGATCAGAGTGTTATTTTTTTCTGTGTTGTTTGTGGCCGCCAAAACCACCCACTCGAACGCCGCCTCCCCCCTAAAACCACCCCTCTCATCTGTTGGCGGTGTCCTTCATCAGGATGCCAACAATATAAAGCCTATTTTCATTGTTTCCTCTCTGACACTTGAACAGCTGACAGGCGTCGACGTCAAAGTCATGTTGCTTTTGTTGTTGTTGTTGTTATTGTTGTTGTTGTTGTAGTTGTCGTTGGCCGGGCCGTTAATTAAATTAAGTAAAAGTAGCAAAGTATGTTCGTACATTATTTAGTAGAACCCTCTTTCTTTTCCTTTTCGTTTTTGTATTTTTTGTTGTTTTTTTTTTTTTTGTATTTTTCCACCTTTTTTCTTCGTGTTGAACGACTTTATCAGCCAGAAAATGATATGTAAAGGTGAGGAGGTAACTAAACGAAAGGGGGAGAGTACATATATAGAACAAGATAAACAGAGAGGGGTGGGAAAACAGAGTGCCCCCTTACTAAATGTGGGAAAGAAGGAACAACCAAGTCTATGGCATTCTTTATACTGCCCCTCCGACAAAAATTGCTGATTGTGAAACGAATGTGTGCCAATATTTATCTAGATAATATTTATGAAACTAATTTTCAGATGGTGGATCTACACATGATAAAAAAAACTTACTATTTAATGCATACAACTTAATGACTAATGCATTCCATTACTGGTTTTCTGTTCTTATAAAAGCTGTTTAAAAATAACATTACGACCTTTTCCTTTATCGACTTCCAAATTAAATTTCGAGCAAGTGTCTTGAACCCAAAGAAAAATGCAATTAAAAGACGGAAATAATAAAACATTGACAAAATACAGCAGCGTCGTTATCCCTTTTATGCATTTTCCCGGGTTTTTCCCGATTTAAGTGCAAGAAATACCATCTTATTTTTAGGGACTCAACAGAAAGCGATTTGCATTAAACGATTATTTTAGTAGCGACGAAGGAAAGCGGGAAATCGATTAAAAGGCCTTCTGTCTCTTTGCACGTGACACCAACAGAAGGAAGGCTCCGAAACTCTGGCAATACAAGAGAGCGGGGTGGTTGGTTGGTTGGTTGCTTGGTTGGTCGCCCGGTGGGTGGACAATTGCGAGGGGGTGGAACGCCCATGGCCCGTTACCGAAAAAAGGGGGGAGGGAGTGAAGAGTGGGGATGGAGTTGCTGGAGGGCCAGAAGCAAATGCGCCACATGGCAAAACGGGCATAATTGAGCCGTATAACAAGCCCAATGACCGATTAAGCCAACATGGCGAGTGACCCTCAAGTGAGCCAAATGAGTTGAGTTCGCATCGGTTCAGTTCAGTTCAGTTCGGATTGGATTGGATTGGATTGGATTGGGTTGGATTGGGAGTATTTACTGAGGTGGAGTCGTAAAGAAAACTCCTGTTGGAAAAGGATGAAACGGTGAAATTTGTGGGCTACTATCGCTTACAATAAAAACTGAAAATAAATACTGAATAGAACTAACATATACTTTAAAGCAATTTGCACTTAAATCAAATCCCAATATATCTCCGTATCTTATCTAAATGTATTTTTATACTTTATTTAATTGGTTTATTTTTATTCAATCAAATTCGCAGCCATCCGTTAGTCTGCTATCTGTGAGATACGATATATAATAAATGTATTACCAAAAAAACCACACAATTCCTAGTCCTGCCAATCTAGGCTATCCATATCCATATTTGCACTCATATCCCTATCAACACGACCATCCATTAGTATCCATAATCATTAATCGACCACGTTGTGTTTTTTATTGATTTTTTTTGGGGGGCTTGGGGCTTGGGGCTTGGGATGTCTTTGGGGTTTTTTTTCCATCGTTTCTACGTAGGCGTAGGTAGCGTTCTGCTTCTTTTCCTACCTTTTTATATATTATCTTTGCGGAACATTTTTTTTTTTTTGGGAGGCGGCGAAAAGGGGGTTTTCGAGTCTGCAGCTGGCATTGGAACACGTCAACGCATTTTTCCACGCTTATCAGATCGTGCCATATATGTATGTACATATATAATGGTGGTGGGGTTGTGTGCATGAATATTCACCCACTTGGCACACATTCCGCTTTTGCTTTTGGTTTTGCCATGTATTTAGGTGTGTGCACCTGTGTACCTGTGTACCTGGCTGTATCTACAATTTATCTGCCGGTTGCCGCTTATCTTATCTGCGGCTATTCGAGTGCGATGGCAACGTTGCCCATCGGCTGACGAACTTCAATTCAATTTCTCTTCAATTTCTTATTACGTACACCACTCAGCCGACAAAGCCAACTAACCCCTTTCTATAGCTACTTTGGCCTATTTTCCCGCCTGGTTTTCCCCTTTTTCTGCTGAAAATGTCTTTATCTTTTTAACATTTGGAAGTGTACAGACTAGGTATTTAACAAAATGAAGAAAGAAAAACGTTTATAGAGCTGATTTATTATTTTTACTAGCACTGCTTTAGAAATTTCACGTTTTCAAAATAAGATTTACTAAAAATACTTTAAAATAATCACCATGAAAAATCTTTTACAATTTCTCCTGGTGCAGAAATATTCTCCTTACTTTGGCAAAAAAAAAAGTGGATTAAAATAATCACCATGAAAAATCTTTAAAATTTTTCCTGGTGTAGAAAAACTCTCCTTACTTTGGTAAAAAAAAAAAATAAAGGTGGCCCTCAGTGGGATGAAGGTGTTTTTTATTATTTTTCCAGCTTTTTCTGAGCAACTCGGATAACTTTTCCGACTCAATGGCAGCAGCACCTGGCGATGGCTGTTTGGCTGGCGTTCGGCTTTTCCCGCTTTTCACGAGGGGCGCCAGAAGAACCTGAGGAGCGGTAATGATGAGCGACGGTGTCGTGTTTTCATTAAGCTTCACAAATTTTAATATGTTATAATAATAATGTCCTTCATGTGAGTGCGTTGGCGAAAAGTTGCCAGGGGCTGGGGTTGGGTGGTGTATGGTTGGTTGGAAAATGCCAAGACAAGAAGAAGAAGAAGCAGATGACAAGTGGCATAGACATTGTCTTAGTCCCCAGTCCTTTGATCCTAATCACAGCCCCACAGTCGAGCGAGATTTTTGGCATACTTCTTACAAATTCACCCACATTCACACTGCGACCTCCAAAGCCCCACCCACTCTGAAGTTCCCGCCCCCTTTTCCCCCCGAAAACGTCACCTCCCCCGCCCCCCGTCGTCATCCTCTGCGTTTGCGGCTTGCTGGAAATGTTAATTTTCCTCTAATGGGAATGGGAAAAAGTCCGTCTTGTGCTGTGTGAGGAAAATTACTTTCTAAACAGAGAGTTAAATTGCTGTCGAGATTTCAAGTGAACTTTTTTTCAGCCAGCTCCATTTTAATTGTCAGGCTCTTTAAGTTTGCAAGCCAAATTAAATGCGGCAAACAGTGTGTTCATTGATATAATTTCATTTTAATTTTATTTACGCAACATTGCGACACCAGAATGTAATTAAACTGCATTTAGGCTTTTTGTACGCATCGCCTGTCCCCGCATGAATATTAATTTTAATGCTATTTATTTCATTAATTGATGCGCAGCTTTAAGGGGCGAATGCATTCAAAGATGCTTTTAAGCTTGTTTTGTATGGAAAGGTAGAATAATCGGAGCAAATTGTTGAATTAGTTTAAAATTTAATTTTTTTTTTTGTGGAATAACAACTAAACTCTGCCCTAATTGTAATCTGCTTAAATGTGTTTTTGTGACCTCACTGATTCCCATTAACCCATAAAGCATTAGTTTAGACGAGTTCCAAACAATGTGTTAACCAAATCACCATTCTCATCTCACTTCAATGTTGTGACCCACAAAAGCAATGACCCTTAGCATTTTTGAATACATAATACAATTATCTACATAAATTATAAAAAGAAAAACGAAAAACAATTTTAATCATGTTTTGTAAAGTAATTGACACATAATACTATTTTTATCAAATTATACCCTTTAAAAGTAAGATATGTATAGTTATTTTCTGAATGGCACTTACCAAATGCAGGACGGTGTTGACCACCTCCCGGTTGGTCACCTGGCCAACCTCGATTAGGCCGATGAGGACGGCGAACTTGAGATTGTCGGCGGTTGTCATTCTGACGATTTCGTCCGGCCGTTTGATCTCACTGTACGGCGGACGCATGATGTCCGCCATTTTGGTGCACGGTTTGTGGTTCAGATTATTATGTTTGTTCCACAGGTGTAAGATTTGTAAATTTTTATTTAGTTTTACGCGTTCAACATGCAGTTGTTGTCGATTTTTGTCAATTTTTTTTTATATTTTTTGTTTTGTTTGTATTGATTTTAGTTTCGGTTTACATAGATCGAGTTATAGATTAATGGATGGAATGCACACGAAAATACACACACACAGATACACAAATATATAATACATTTACATATATAATAGATATATATGAAGATGGTAATGCTATATATATATATATATATAAACAATTAAATATTGCCAGGCAATTGGAGGGGAGGAAAAATTATTATTTTAATTTTGTTGGCTGGATTTTTTTTCTATTTTGATTTTTTATTTCAAATATGCATCATTTGTGTTGTTGCACTTATCCAATATTTATTCGCTGCTGTTGTTGCTGTTGTTGTTGTTGGGCAGCTGAATTGCTGATGTTGTTGTTGCTGCTTTTTTGGCTCATATTGAGCTTCTTCTGCCGCCGACACTTGCCAAATTTTGCATTATTTTTTATAAAATACTTTGTTGTATATTTTTAATTGCACACTTTTCAGATTTTAATTGAGGTTTTGGTGATTTTTGGTGTGGTGGTGGTTGTGGTGGTGACATACATAAAAAAAGAGAGAAGAGAAATAGGTACATGAGTACGAATGCAATAACTCCGATACTTAATGTACAGTGCGTTTCAGAAACGTAGGTCAGTTGGCATGTGGCCCCAAACTTGGCAACTCAAATAAAATGTATACAATAATTATACGTCGGGATGACTCAAATTGTTTTCAACAAACTTTTTATTTCAATTTAAGCCTATTTAAAAATAACATCCTTATTTTGTGAAACGCACTGTACTGGTTTTGGTTTTCCAAAATTAAAAAGCGAGGTACATTAAAAATTAAATTAAATTCTTATTTTACATATAATCCAGCTACAAAGCAAAATTCTAAATATTCGTTTGATCTGCCATGGTTTTAGTTTCGGGGGTTGGGTTTTTTTTAAGGGGGGTGGTGTTAGTGGTTTCCAAGGATGTGGAGAGCGGGGGAGATTCTGGGGGGGTTTTCGACGGAGTGGTTTCGGTTGGAACGGGGGGCGGCATACACGTGCTTGATGGAGCAAATTTTCGTTCCATTATTCATTGGCTCCTTGCCTGCTCACAGAGCAAAGTGGAAAATTGTCTGGGGAATTTATGTGCATTTTTAATTTTCGTTTTATTTGTTACTCTTTTTATACTGTCTTTTTATTTTTGTGCCGTATGCATCATCAGAGCCGAACTGACTTGCTTTAACTCCCGGATCGATCTGGACCCAAACTTATGTAATGGCACGATTTTCGGACATTTTTCTCTGTGTGAAGCTCGGCTGTTGATCGATTTCATTAGCTTGTGCTTCGGACGGTCAGTTGGCAGTAGTACTTAAATCATATATATAGCCTATAGTTTTCTTGGCCCGTCACGCACCGGCGATAAGACAGGGGTTAATGCCCCACCGGTACTCAAAGTGCCGGGAAAACCGTGGAAAAACTGTCGAAGCCACCGCGTTCTAAAACGTTCAGCAAACACCACTGGACGAGGCAGTGAAAAAAAAAATAAAATAGCGTACAAACATATATAGCGCTGACACACCTGAAGAACAAGGTGTGCTTCTGATTCAGCTGGCGAATGGAAGGGCTATAAAAGAAACGCAGCTGTGTTAAAAGAAAACTCTTCGAGGGCTCTTATTGAAAGAAAAATGTTGAACAAGACGGGTACATTTAATTAGACACCGTTCAATTTGCAATCTGATTGGGTTGGGGTGGAAACGTACTAACTTACTTGTGGAAAATCTTGTTTAAGAAGATTACATATTACTCACTATGAAAGTATTTCGGTTTTTAAACAATCAATAAAGTAGTTTAATATCTGTCCGAAAATAGGAAGGATAAAGGCCTAAAGGGAAATCGCGGTTGGGGTTTACAAAAATGCAGTTTTACATTCTTAAACTGCTCACAAGCTTTGTTGCCTTTTTAATAAACTACACTTTTAGATATAAACAGTGCAAAATCAAAAAAAAAATTATACGTTTAACAAAAAAAGAAACGAAGAAGAAAAACCGGCGTGGCAAAAAACAGGCAAAGCAGCGCTGACTGGTTTCTTGGTTTTAACTTTTGTTTTCTTTTAAGATTGCGTTAGTGACTGGTACTGTTGTTTTTTTTGTGCTTAGATAAAACAGGTGATTCTCTTCGTTTTCTTGGTTTTTTTTATATGTAGTTCAGCTTACGGACTTTTGAATGCGGCCACTTTGCTAATTGCACGTCAACAGAAAAAAAATTCCAATACGGAGAGCGAGTCTCATTGCGTTTCATTTGCTTTGCGTTTTGGCTCTGAGCTGCTACCACTTTTTGTAGTTGTTTTTATTTTTATGGCCAAAAGAGAGGGGGAGAACCGGTAAGAGAGCGAGAGAGATAGAGAGAGAAGTTGGTAATTTCGTTACGAAATAAAGATGCAATGCCTGTTGGAAATGAAAGTCACGCGTTCAATCGATCAAAAAGATCTATAGAACCGCTTGGACAACTTCCTTTTTTGTAAAGTTAAAAACGGTTTAAATGTTTCTTTATTACAAATTTAAAGCTACCTGTTTTGTTTAATTACTATTATTAGGAAGACCTTGAAATCTATTAGTACACTCTCTGCTGCCAAATAACAATTTTGTTTTATTTTTTACATATAGTATTAAAAGTTTGAGGTTCCTTCACGAAAACGATTTCATAAAATTATATTTTAAATATTTGGATAGCGATCTAATATGACTTATTTTGAGTTTTATTTAATTGTTGTTCGAGCTTACTGAAATACTTTAGTTAATTTTTATTTAATAAAATATTCTTATCGAGCTACAGGGCCCTAAAATTTGGGCTGAACATACTGAAATCCCCATTATTTTGCCCACGTTCTTTCGTTGTTGTTGTGTTTCGTGTATTGCCGTTGTTTTTTTACCCAACTTTTTGTTGGTGGTCGAAAGAGAGAGACAGAATTTGGTTTTGGTGGTGGCTTTTCGGGAGAGGGGGGCCAACAGGATGACTAAGGGGGGCCGATGAGGGGGTAACCCGTTTTGGGCATTCGTATTTGTGTTTGTTTTTATTGCAATTGCAGCAGGCGGCCATCTAATTATGAATTGCAGTCACGCCGAGACAAGTTTTTCCTTTGTTTTCCTGCCGCGCTCTCTCGCTCTTTCTGGACTTTTCGCTCTCTCGAGCTCTCTTCCTCTCGGCTTTTCTCACCTTTTCAGTGGGAAAAATCAATGAAACGAGAGAGTATTTCTCTTGGCCTTTTCCGCCCCGCCCCCGGCCCCTTTCACTTCCTTCTTCATTTTGCCACCCACCTTTGCTCTCTCTCTCTCTCTCTTCCTAACGCCAAACGGACACACGTCGTCAGTTTGTTAACTTGATACACTTAAAAAAAATATCTTTACTTCAAATTAAGGAATATTGTCTAAGCGATCGTACAATTTTAATTTTGAATTTGATTGTTCAAAGTTGTGGTACTGCCTTTTTCGATATATCAAATAAAAAAGTATTTATTAGATTTAATAATCGTTTTCGGGCCAAAAATTTTCTTTTAGTGTAGTTTTTACCACACACACACATTCGAACTCTCTCGCGCTCTCTTGCTCTCCCAATCTCTCGCAACGTTGCGGCTTTTTCTGCTTCTTGCCACTGCTACGTATTTTTTATCTTATTATTTTGCACCGCTTTGTTGAATTTTGTCATATTCCAATAAGCAAACACAGCGACACCAAAATGCTAATTGGACCAACTAACTACACAACTCAAAGCAAATAAAACTAAACACACAACTCTAACAAAAAAATAATATTTCAAATAAATGCAAAAACAACAAAAAAAATATGGGCAAAACGTAACGTAATAAGAGAGCGTAAAGCATTATATTTACGTTGTTTTTTAGCCGCTTGCTGCCGATGTTTTAAGTCTGTTTACTGTTGTTGTTTATGTTTTATTGTTGTTGTTGCTGTTGTTTCTCATATCATTATTGTTGTTGTCTCACATTCACAGTAAAAAAAAGTGGCAAAAAAATAATGTGAAAATAAACGCCGCGAAGGAGGCTAAAAAAATTGATTCATAAATTCAAAATCGCAACGTTCACGTAACAACAAAATACAACCATTTTTTACGTTGTGTGTTGTCCGCAAAATGATTTAATTGAATTATTTCACTTCTTTCACCTCCGCATTTTACTTGTATTATTTTGTTTAATTCACGTTTTGTGCCATGGGATTCTGTTTTCTCGCTTCAGTTTTCTGTTTTTCGGTTTCTCGTTTACGTTCTCCGCTTTGCGTTTTCTCCGCTGTTCTTTCGATGCGACCGCGCGCGCTGCGGAAAACAGATTAACTTTGCTTTTGCGTTAGCGGCACGACAAAGAGAAATACGGTTGTTGATTGGAGAGACCGGAGAGAGAGAGCGAAAGAGAGGGAGAGAGAGCGGGAGCGAAATTTAGGGAGATTTTTTACAAATTAAAGGAAGCAAAACAATTCCCTATATTGATAGGTGTTCCGGTTTTAAAACTCATCCAATTTTATTCCAATTTGAAAGTGACAAGCCTTACGTTTTCACTCCATGCCAATTGGGATCTAATTTTTCTTATTAACTATTTTTCATATTTGTATACAGTTACGCATCAGGAAATTTCAAGTTTTCGATATCCTACAGAAAGGTGACCCAAAAAAGCACTTCCAAGCCCCATTATTTTAATTTAATTCTGATTTTTAAAGTGTTAAAGTGCTTGACAAAAATTTTAAAAACAAAATTAATATTATTCCAATGCCAAACGTCTGTGATTTAACTAAAATAAAGTCTTAAGGGTTCGAAATAAAATCTTTAAATGTTTTTTGAAATCAGAATAACCCCAAACGCTTAAGCTTGTCTCATAGAATCTCATTGTTTTCTATCTCACTGAAGGGAGAGAACTCTCTCCAAGCTTTCTCTTACCCGCTCTCAAACAGCTGGTCAATGGGAAATTCTATGTTGTCAACGCCGTGGCGCGCGTATTACAGATTTTTTAAAACCTACAACTGTTCGAAATAAATATGAAACCAACATGCACGACTTAAATTACTAATGCATTGAATAAATAACAGAATATGTTAATGCTTTTTTGATTTTAACCATTGAAAAACACGCTACTACATATTTTGAGAAGGTACAAGCAAGCACAATAATTTTGTCTTGTATTAAAATATTCATATTTACTTCAAACAAAATATTACAAGCAGGGCTTTTAAATAAATGAAAAACAGTTTATTTATAAAATTTTTATTCAGAAATTTTTTTAACATTGCAAAAATTCTTACCCTTATGAAATGAATTTACGCCATCTAGGAGAGGTTATAAAAAAAACAAATAATTGTTTAGCAATGACTCAAACCAACAGTTATCAGGTCGCTTAAACAGCGCAGTGTGACCGACTGCCAATTAAGGTGGATAAATTGTCGAAAGGCTCCGGTTGATAAATATTCATTATCGATCTAGCAAATCGGTTTTTACCTTATGGAATTACTTTCAAAGAATTTCGCGTATCGATAGTTACAATATTGTTATCGCAATATCGACAAAAAAAAGTGTGACCAATTGTTTGTGTCTCCCAAAAAATAGTATATGTGAGCCGTCAGACTTTGGTCACATTGCATTACCAACCTTTAAGTTTAGTTTCGTAAAAAAAAAAAACATTTAAAAAAAGGCGATAAAACCAAACAAAAGGACTCCAGTGATAACTAAACCAATTGCATTGCACACTACACGCAAATATATGAAAATGTGATGTTAAGTGTGAGTAAAAACCGACGGAAAAGCCAAAGGAGTGTGCGTGAACAAGTATGTGTGTGTGAGTGCGCGTGAGGTACGAATAAAGTGTAAAGAAAGGAGGGCAAAAGAGCGGCGCCAGCTAAAAAATATAAACAATTAAAAGACGCATATGTATAAACAATGTATGTGCGTAAATATTTCCAAAAGTTGAAAAGCGGGCAAGGAAAACAAAAGAACTAGTTCCTTCTTACTTGAGTGTGTGTGGTTGTGTGTTTTTGTGAGGGGGAGAGGATTCCATTCCAGCTGCCTTTGTGTGGATTTTATGTTTTTTTATTTTGTATTATTTTATTGTGTGGATTGTTTGAACCCTTTTTAGCCTCCTTTTGAGAAAGTGTGCGTTCGTGTGTTTTCAACCCCCAAAATACGTTTACCACCCACCGCCAGCCGCCCGGCGAAAAATCACTGAGCAATAAACCACCCACCACCCCAAAAACAAAAAAAAAACGAATTATTTCCCACTGAAAATTTTCTTCCAAGGTGATGATGTCTTCTTCTTCTATCCCATCTTCCTTTTCTTTCCAGGAGCAGCGCACAAAAAGGGAGAAACAAGAAAAGAGAGAGAGAGAGAGAGAGCGCCATTCAAAAACTGTCGAAATAAAACGGCTTCTCCACCTCTTGCCCCCTTTCATTCCCCAACCCCCGCTGCAGCACTCATCTTACAGTGGGGCGGGTTAAACAAATTTCGCAACACTATAATTTTATTTAGCTACTTTTTAGTAGTTAGAAGAAATTTCAATGTTGCACACTTATATGAAGAAATAGTGGATATGAAACGGTCCTACCTGTTTTTGACCTTTCCGCCCCACTGTGCATTGCATGACGCTCAACCACTGAGGCTAGCGCCTTCCCTGTCTCTCGTTCTCATTCGTCTATATGCCATCCTTTTCGCTCACGCCGCCTGCCTTTCGGCTTGTTTCTTTTGTGCCTATTTCCGCTTGTTAGGTCAGCTCTTTCCCCCTCCATTCGCCATCCCCTTTTTGTGCTCCCTTTATAGGCTCCAAGTTCTGGCAGTCCTTAATGTACAGTGATGGGCAAGAAAAGCGTACGTTTAATAATTAATTGTCATACATTTTTTGTGATTGAATTCCAAAATCACTGTAAAATTCGATGACATAAAAATAATTTTTTAAAAATATATTGACAAATTTTTTAGATTAAACAAAATTTTAATATTTTTGAATATAAAATATTTGATCCTTTTTGTGAACACAATACACATTTTATGTTTTCCGTGAACGTGTAGTACTATATTGATGACCGCTGCTGTAAATTTTTTGGTTTGTGCTGATGCTTTATATGTGTGAGAATAAAGTCGTGTGGCCAGTGTGTGTGGGTGTAGGCAAGGGTAAGAAAGCCAAAGAAAAGGCAAAAGGAGTAGGGCAAGAACTGAATTAAGAGGGGCAACAAGAAAGGAAACAGAAGTAAGGTTTTTGTGCAACTCAACCCAAAAAATTAACTTTTCAATATTGCGCGCCTTTCGCTCGTTAGCCAACACTGCCCGCAGAATGCAACCCTGACTGAACTCACTTACACACACATAGAAACTCATAGACCCAGGGAGGCAAAAATTCACACACTAGCAAATGTTTTTTGTTATTATTGAACAGTAAAGAACAGCGCAAAAAACGAGCTTACGAATGTGAAAAACAAAGCGGTTGTGTGAAAAACAGCAACAAGAAAAGGCATGTGGAAAGCAAAAGAAAATTACTCGCGGGGGAGCAATATCGGCTGAGAAAGAAGCAGAAGCAAAAGCAGAGAAGGAGTGTAAGAAGAAGCAGCGCAGCCGCTAATTGTCGCGTCGTTCGTTGTTGTTGCTGCTTTGCAAAAAACCGAAAAGTAATAGCAAAAATAAATAGCAAATAAAAATAATACAATACAAAATATTAAGTTATTAACAAATTGAAGAGCAGCAGAAACTACAGAAACGAGCAAGAAGCAGCGGTAAAGGAAAAGGCAAAAAGGAGAACAACCGAAAAGGTCAAAAAATGTGAGCGAGCGAGAGACCTCCCCCCGAAAAAAACCAAAAGAAAAATGGAGCAAAAGTGAAAAACCTGTGTGTGTGTTTGTGTGTATGGAGGGGGAAAAGCTAAAATTAATTTTTTGTTTTTATTTCCAAGGCGCGCGCGTATGTGTGTGTGGGTGGAAAATCCGATTTCGTAGAACGCATTTAATTGTTAACAACAACAAATCGTGTCTAATTTACCTGACTTTTCTATATCATTTTCAGTTAGTAATTAAATTGCACAAAAATCGAGAGATGAGAGCAAATCAATAATAATAATAACAAAAGGAAAAGAGGCAAGGAGAAGAGGAGCAAAAGTAACGGCAGCTGCATGTGTGTGTTTTTCTGTGGATGTGTGTAAAACAAACAAAAAGAGAGTAATTTTTTTAATAAAAATGTGGAAATCAAGCAAGGAAACAACAAAAGCTAAAACAACAACAACAAAAGCAGCAGCTAGGAGCAGCGCAGTCAGCAGCGACGTCGACGCCAGCGTCGCCGCATGGAAAGCACAAAAAACCGCATGACAAGGAAATGGAAAATTTTTGTGCAGCCCGAAAAACCAAATGTGAACATAAAAGAAAGGCAAAAAGCAAGGCGTTGAGCGAAAGAAAAACAAAACAAAAACATCAAAAATTGAATGTGCGTGTGTTTTCCAATCTAAAAGGATCATAATAATAATAATAACTGGCAAAAGAAAAAGGCAGCGGCTTTCAAAAACCAAGAAGAAAAGAGAGTGGGAAAAATAAAAGGAAAAGGAAGAATACAAAGAGTAACTATCAAATAAAGCACAGAAAGAAATTATTGTGGAGGAGCAAAACGCTATATAAAAATATACAACAAATATTCTGATGCAAATCGGCTTCAAAGTAAGAGCAGCCGCCAAAAATTAAAAAAAACCTTAAGAAGAAATAGCCGCCTTTAAATATTTCAGCAACTGAATGGACAAGCGGAAAGGAATTTTAAAATTATAAACAGCATCTTCGGTAACTAAACCACGCTAAAATGTGAGTATCATCAACAAGTATTTGAATGAATTACTTGAAAACTTTAAAGCAATCCTTTTGAGTCTTCCTTTAATATAACAGCATAAGAATTTACTTAGGTAGGGATTAAAATATATTTTAAGGGAGAATTGCTTAAAGTATTCAATAAAGTTCTTAATAAACCTACCGAAAATAAACCCTTTGCCCGAGCAATGGCAAAACTTAATCATTCTTTCGGTTTTTTAGATATACAACAAACAGCTAAGGATCTCGCGAAAGCAGCCGACGCATCCTGAGCAGTTGAAAATAAAGTGAGTTTGGTACCTGCATTTGCTATCCGAATTAGACCAGTCTAAAGACCTTTATAAATTGCAGAAAATCGTTAAAATACATAAAAAATAATATTATATCGCTGCCATGGCCAGCAGCGCGACAAACGTCGACGGCGGCAGCGGGACGTCGGCGGCGCTGCCATCGCTCTTCCCCGCCGTCGGCGCCGCTGCCGGCGTAAAGGATATGGACGGACTGATTGCCATTAACGATAGCGCCCTATCGCAACAGATCGAATTTATACTGCAGGATGCTCCCATGGAGCAGGACGATGATCCTCACCAGCATTCGCATTCGCATGTGCACCACCACCACCATGCTGCGCACCATCATCCCCACTCGCATTCGCATCAGCAGCAGCATCTCCATCAGCAGCAGCAGCAGCAGCAACACCATCCGCATCATCATCTGAAGCTGGAGAACAGCAGCAACAACCACCCACCGACAGCAGCAGCAGCAGCAGCCGCGGTAGCAGCAGCAACAACTGCGACAACAGCAGTAACATCAACCAACAACAGCGCTTCCTTTAGCACCAGCAGCAACGCGAACAGCAACAGCAACAATCACCTGGACGGCCAGCAACAATTGCTCATCCAACAGCAACAGCAGCAGCATCATCTTTTGAACGGACGCCGCATAATCATCCAGGCAACGGGCAGCTCCGCAGTTTTGGCCGCCAGCGATATCAAAGAGGAGGACGAAGAGGAGGAGGATCCGGAGCTAAACGATGAGAATCTGCAGGATATCGAGGAGGAGGCTCAGGCGGCGGAGGCAGACGAGGAGCCCGAGAGCACCACACAGCACCTGGCCGCGCAGGTCAAGCTGGAGCTGGAAGAGGATGAGGAGATGCCCGAGGATGAGGAGGAGGAGGACGAGGACGATGATGAGGAGCAGCAGCAGCACGGGCAGCTGGAGTACCAAATAGGTTCGGCAACGCCAGCGGGTGGAGCGACAGTCAGCGGCGCTGGTGGTGCTGGTGGATCGACAGCAGGAGCAGGAGCGGCAGGAGCCCAGCAGTTGGTTCAACTGCCCGCCGGGAGCATTGTGAGCACCACCACCCACCGATTGTCGGTGCCCGTGACCGAGGCGGCTCTCGTGCAGCTGCAGCGTCGGCCCGTTTACATAAGCAACGCCGTGGGAGGCCTGACCGCCGGCACAACCTATGTACGAATGCCGGCGGCGGCGGTCATCAGCCGCAGTCCCATGACGGTGCTGAATGTGGTGCAACAGGCGCTGCCGGCCACTCAGTTGATCCTGCAGACCCAACAGCAACAGACGCCGGCAACGACAGCCGCCGAGCAGCAGTTGGCCTTGGCCTTGGAGCAGCAGAGGCAACAGCAGGAGCAGCAGGCCCAGCAACAACGCCAGCAGCAGCAACAGCAACAAGAGCAACAACGGCAGCAGCAGCAGCAACAACAAGAACAGCAAAGGCAGCAGCAACAGCAGGCGCAGCAGCAGCAAACCCATCCAGTTAAGCATTCAGCATCAAGTTCTTCCTCAAACAGCAATAGCAACACAAACTCCACCACCAACAACAACAACAGCAGTAACAGCGGCAGCAGCAGCAGCAACAGCAACAACAATCCGCCGGCGGCAACCGTGACCACCAGTTACCAGTGCGTGGAGTGTGTGGAGAAGTTCGACTCGAAGGAACTGTTCGACATCCATCGCAGCGGTCATGCCAACAACATGAAGTGCGCCATTTGCAACATGGTGCTGAAGTCGCTGAAGAACTACGAGAAGCACTGCCTGCGCTGCAAGCCGTACGAGTGCCAGATTTGCGGACGAGTCGTTCGCTTCCGGCCGAACTTCATCAAGCACATGCGCGTGCACACGGGGCAGCAGTCGGAGCGGCACAAGTACAAGTGCGAGGTGTGCCACAAGGAGTTCATGAGCTTCGAGTACTTCAAGGTGCACAAGAAGATCCACAACGAGAACGTCAACCTGACCTGCGAGATCTGCGGCAAGGTGTTCAGTGCGTTGGCATCGCTGCGCGGACATTCGAAACTCCATTCGGGCGTCAAGCTGCACAAGTAAGTTGGATATTCTCCTGTTCATATATACATAACTAAAAGGAGCACTAAAATACATAAATCCTCTTTCTTTTCCAGATGTGACGTATGCGGCAAGGGCTTCGGACAGCGCTACAACCTGAAGATCCACGCCAGAACGCACACGGGCGACTTTCCGTTCGAGTGCAAGATCTGCAAGAAGAAGCTGCACACGCAGTCCTCGCTGCAGACGCACATGCAGGTCCACCTGAGGGATCAGCCGGGAGCGGCGGCGGCGGCGGCGTCTGCATCGGGGCCCACCTCCTCGAAGGCCAGCAACAGCAGCAATTCGAGCAACAGCAGCAACTCGAGCAGCAGCAACTCCAGCAGCAACGGCGGAGCAGCAGCCGCAGCAGCAGCTTCGACAGCAACGACGACGATCGTTAAGCTGGAACCGCCGCACGAGCTGGACAGACCCGGCACAAGTAGCAATCAGCTGCAGCAGCAGCAGCAGCACCTCCACCTCCAGAGCCAGCACCAAATGGAGCTGGACGAGCAGTCGGGACTTAGCGGGGATGAGGAGGAGGGCGGCGGCGTCGGTTTGAACTCCTCCTCGCACATTGTGAACGCAACCACCAATCGCTTGACCACCGGCGAGGACTCATCGGAGTCCTCGAATGCCTCGCTACACCTGAACCAGCACTCCTCCACCTCATCCTCGCCAGCCTCGCAGCACCAGCTGTCGCAGTCGCAGCAGCAGCAGCAGCAGGTGCAACAGCAATATCTCGTTTCGGCGCCCACGCGAACCATCGTCATTAAGAACTACATGCAGCAGCAGGGATCCCAGCAGCAGCAACAGCAGCAACAGACCTCCGATCCAACGCCCGTGCTGCATGCCCAGGTCATCCAGAGCGGTGCAGGCACCAGCAACGGCAACGGCAACACCTCCACCACCAACAGCAGCGGCGGCGGCAGCGGCAGCAACATTGTGTCCACCAACAGCAGCGGCAATCTGAGCAACGGCTCGCAGTTGATAAGGAAGACCCCGATCATTCATCACTCCACCGGGAGCGGCGGCAGCAGCGGTGGTTCTGCGCTGGCCAGTGTGTTGCGGCAGACAGGTGGTGAGTGCTCCCCCATCAGCTTAAGTGGTTCAATGTCTAGTCAGTGGGTTGAAAAAAAAGGTCTTCTTCAAGGCACATTTGGCTGCATTTCACAAGTTTTCTTACTATTAATTCGTATACATTACGGTGGAATGCTGATATTATATGCTGGTTTATTTTTTTTGTGTTTTATAAGATCATAAATCGTGTTAGTCTTTTGATGTTCTAGCCATGCTGTTTGAGTTTTTCAATGAGCGTGTCTATTTCCCTGGAAAACAATGAGGTTCTTCATTGATCTTCATTGCCAAGTGTTTTGTGTAAACAATAGCCAGTGTTTTGCAGAAGTAAAAAATGTTATTTGTTTATGGTTGTTTTCTATCAAAAACACAAGAGTCTTTATAAATTCCACATTCTACTTAATATACTGACTAGACTTGCCGCCTTAATAGATAACCCAAAAAATATACACCTCATTTGCAAATTTCTTTTTTGTTTTTAGTTGTTTCGCCCGCTCAATCGCCATCGTCGTCGTCGACCTCTTCCACCTCATCAACGGTGCTGGTGTCCAAGGCCAACGATGTGCCCCTGTCCATAGCTTCCTCATCGATCATACGCAGCACGAGGAACCACCAACAGCAGCAGCAGCAGCAGCAGCAACAAGCCCAACAACAGCAACAGCAGCAGCGAGTGACGCAGCGCAACAACCACCGAAACCACCACCGACGTCGTCATCTGGCGGACATGGATGACGATGAGGACGAGGACGAGGATCAGCAGCAACAGCAGCAGCAGCAGGCGCAGCAGCAGCAACATCATCAGCATCATCACAACCACCATCATCACCACCATAACCATCACAACCATCACTTCGATGACGATGATGACGATGAGAAGTCATCACCGTCCCTGGCCACAGCGGCCATTATCAAGGTGGAACCGAATCTGTATTCCTCGGGCTCCGGCGACAATTCCAACGATATGTTCATCAAGGAGGAGGTGATGTTCGAGGACTCGGCCGCTTTGCATTCCCCACAATCGCCGCCCAGCTCAAAATTCCGCATCTCGAACTTTGATAGTGACTTGGTGGATCATCACGTGAACTTGAATCACTCGCTGCCGCCGTATGGCAATCTGTTTGAACCGCACTCGATACCGGATAGTATACCGGTGCAATTGTATCCGGACGACGACGATGACTTCCGGTTGGATCATAGTTCGCTGGGTGGACTGCACAACACAACGTCGTCGTCGACCACCGATGGGGATTTCATCAAGAAGGAATGGGTCTACGGCACCGGCACCAGTTCCTATGCCATGAACGGCAAGTTCGATGATGACAGCGATGCGCTGTGCGACGCGGCCAACTTCATCTACAATTGAGTGCAGGCAGCCGTTGCCGTTGTGGTGGATCATCATCATCATCATCATCATCGTTGTCGTCATCACCATTGTCATTGGAAATGGAGGAGGAATCCGCGTCGTCGGCTGAAGCAGATGAAGCAGATGATGGTACTTGAGGAGCAGAAAGAGCAGTCTGTCGAAGAGGAACTGAATCTGAAACAGGATCAGGATCATCAGGATCAGGATAAGCAGCGCATTGTCCTGCGACGCGTTCACGATGCAGCCATGTGGAGCTGAGGATTCGGTTAACCCAAATTCGTAGATGTACCACGTATATACTATATATATATATGTCCCCCCTACATAGATCATACACACACAACACCACTCACACACACACACACACCAAACACATCCAAGAGGGTGAATCGATTTGCGTGAGGTGCAAAAACCAATTTATGAACAATTCTAACTAATTTCGCTGTAAAAACTTTCGAGCTATTAACGTTTTTGCAGCTCTAAGCCTTCAACTATGCAAAAGGCATGCGAAAGGAATTTTTTCAAAGAGTAACCTATGTTTGTATTACACAAATTCAAACTGTTTCGGCTTTAATAACCATTTTTTTTTTAAGGAGTATTAGTTTTGAGTGATTTATCAGCTGGTTTTAAAATATCTGGTATTATCCAAACGAAAAATATTTTTTTTAACCAAGTTTAAAACTCTAACCAATTTGATTGTATAAATTATAGATCTAAGAATTATTCTGACCTACCCAAAAGAGAAGAGGAGGAAATTGGGTTCATTAGGTTTAGCTTTAAATGAGTATCATAAAGTTTCCAAGGCCAAATTATTTAGAATTATCCATAGAAGACGACTCTATCTTACTGTTCTATTTTATTTTTGCAACGCAATCGGGTCGAGCCACCCTAATATATATATACACAATATATATATATATATATTACTAATACATAGTACACATACTTATCCTATATGTCCACCATATAGATAATTTGCTATCTCTGTTCCGCTCGTGATGATCTTAAAACGTGATCTTAAGTCTAAATCAATGTGTAAAATGTTAATTTCGCTTTCGTTCGAACCTTTTCTCCCAGTGTGTAATCTTCCCCAGTTTCGGTTTGTTGTAGTTCTTTATCTTTTCTCTCGCTCGCTCACTCTGTGTGTCTCTGTCTTTGTTGCTCTCGTGTCCCCACTGTCTCTGTCTCTCTCTATCTCACTCTCACTCCGATCTGTTTATAGGAATTGTAAACAACAATTTTAACCCCACTTTTAGTGTAAAAAAAAAGAAGAAAATCTCAAATGAACTTGTAACTTGATGTGAAACACGAATTGTTTATTATAAGTTTTTATTTTTACATATCATTTACCCTTATTTAATATAAATCTCAATTCGAACTTTCCGTATGGCTCAGCACATTGAATTATCTATTGTGAGCCCTAATTTTAGTTGTATAGTTTTGTATTTGATCTCTCGGCTTTAGTTTTTGCATTCAAATCGAAAGAAAATTCAGTTCCTGTGTAATGGCAAAGATGACTTGAGAAATTGTATTATAATTTAATGGACTAGACAATCAATGTGCTGTTTTTATATGGAAAGATGTATTTTACCAAACATATATATTTCTATATCACTCGAGGATCCTTCAGTATTGGCTCCCCAAAAACCGAATCAAAGGAAAGAAAGTACCTAAGTGAAACCAGCTAATATTTCGCTTACCGCTTTTTTTGTTTTTGATTGACACCTTGTTTTCACTTACCTAAAGCGCAGTATTTGTTTCATTTAATTCGAGAACAACCCGTATACATTTTTTCATAGTTAGTTTGTAAAGTGATAAGGTATTTTTTTGAGTTTTTTTATTAGCAGTTCTAATGTGCAATCTCCCCCATCACCGAACTTTGACCTCTATCTCACCTTCGCTCGAACACCTTGTGGTTTCCTTAATTAGTTGCTAAGTACCCAAGATAAACACACACACCCACACATACACACACGAATACATAAATCACCCACACGAATTACGATTATGATTTGCATTACTATATACTATAGATAATCTGTAGCTAAGTGTAAGCCTGATTTCTGTGTAGTCTCTAAGCTGAAAGAGCATGCTTTAGCTTTAGCTTTACCCTAACATACGAAACTGCATAAGCATACGAATATATAATATATATATAGCCGCTGTACAATTACTTGATCTTTAGCATTAACACTTAAAAACTTTTCATTTGCATTTACATAACGATTGTTTGTGTATTCTTTTCGTTTTTCGAAAATTAAAAATTATATTAAACAAATATATATATAGCCATAAAAAAATTATATATATATATATATATATATAAATATATATATCTGGATGGGGAATCGGATACAACAATGGAGGAGAAAAAGAATCCACATAACAAAAACTTCTATCAAAAGCATTTAATGTTAACATAATGAATAAAAATCTATATAAATTAATTAATTAAATGATAAATGTATAACAAACAAGTTAGCCAACAATTGTAAAACGTAGCTGAAAGAGTTCACTTTTTTTCGTGTGTGTAGCATGGAAGGAAAATCATATTTAACCAATTTGTTTGTTTGAGAGTTTTTATTTCGCTTTTTTGTGCTTAATCGTAATTGTTGTTGCTTGCCATTTTGTTTGTTACTAAAAGAAAATACATAATTATATAACAAGAGCCGTTAATCATAAAAACACACAACACTCACACATAGACACGTGGAAAAGCTCAAAGGAAAAACGCGCAAAGAGAAAATGTTTTTGTTTTCCAATCAAAAAAAAAAAAAAAACATTAATTACGGATTTGTCTTCCGCACGAGTTAAAAGTTCGATTTGAACAATGTACAAATTTTCAGTTGATTAAATCGATAACCGGTTTATAAGAAGTCGATAAATAGATGAGGAATTCGATAGCCAGTTGAAGAAATCCTTGGCCTAACCATTTCCCCTTTGGGAGCCAAAGTTTTAGCAAGCAATTTAAACAAGTTGGAATTTGGATTTGAACGATGGACGAATTCGATACAAGCCACCCTCCCATTTTCACTCCATTTTCGGGGAAGCCCAAACCCGAAAATTTTAGGAAGCAATAAAAACGAGACAAAACAGGTGGGAAAAACCCTCGCGGAAATCCTCTTCGAAAAAACTCATCGTTCACTGCCCCATGCGCCTTTTCTCACGCCCCCTTTTTAAATACACTGAGAGCAATCAAGGGAAATTAGGAAAGCACCCCAAAGTCATTTTCAGTTACACCGAAAACAAAATCGAGGAAAAACGAGATCTTTTGTACGTTTGCAAAGAAAAAAGGAAATATTGTAGGATAAATGAAAACCAAACTCCAACAAATACTATTTTATATACCAAACAACAAAAGGATAAAAACGATGATTAACAAAAACCCAACAACTTTGCACTACAACAACAACCAACTAAATTTTTAAAAATTTAATCTCAACGACTGCGCACACAACAACAAACAAATTTTTTGTATTATATTATAAAAAAAAATGGAAAAGAAAAAAACAAAAAAACGTAACTTTAAACAAGATCGAAGAGGAAACGGGTGAAGTGAATGATAGAAAGCAAAGTGAAATATTTTTTTAAGTGTAAACCAGGCCGGTCAAAAAGGCTTGGGCGCCAAATTTTCTGCAATAAAAAATATTTAATAAAGTAATATTGTAAACTTTATAGTGTACACACACAAAAACACCTTAAATTAGGAACGAAAATGGATATATAATTGTGAAGCCAAGAACAGTCCAATTACGAACACACATTCACACAAATTAAATGTGGTTTAGTTGTCATTTTTTTTTAAACATAAAAGTACCTTAAAATCAAACAATTGAGAAAGTAAATTAATAATAACTAATTTCTATGTGTCTCCCTTTGTGTGTAACTTTGCAACTCTAAATTCTTGAAATAAAAAATTAAAAACAACACATAATCATATTAACACAAAAAAAGCAAACAAATTAAAATTAAAAATTGTAACTAAGCAAAAGAATAATTATTTTTAAAGGTAAATCAATTTGTTATGCACAAAATATATATGCAGAAAAGCCAACTTTTTAAGTTACGAATTTGTTAAAAGATCTAAAGAGTAGAAGAAAACCCGACTTTTTAAAGCATTTTCGAGAAATATTGAGAAAAAAAACCGAACAATTTCAATCTGAACAACATAAAGCCCACGAAAGTATATATATTATATAAATAAAGGTAAATAAATATATTTAAATAAATTATCTATAAACAGAAACGGTAAAGTAAATTAAACAAATCGTATTTATACACTATGAATGTCTAGTCGTATTTTCAGTATTATGTAAACCGCCCTCCCTTTTCCCCTCCCCCAAAAAATCACCGTAAAAATATAAAAAAAACTATAGAAAGCTAAGCTAAATGAATGTGAAGTAAAACAAAAAAAAAAAAAAAAAAACAAATTTTTGAAAATGCAAACTAAAAGCGAAAATAAAAAAAAGTAAACAGAAATTATGTGTGTAGCGTGTACAATAAAACAGAAATAACAAAATATGGTAAACAATTTTTAGAAGCATTTTTAACACATATGAGAAAACCAAACTTAACGTTTAAATAACGATGAAGTGCAAGCGCAAAAATTTAACGAAATGTGTCTGTTTTTAGTGTTAGATTCGATGTAAGCGAACCACAATAAAAAAAGAACATAACAAGAATCATATATATATACATAAAGATCATTACGATTTACTAAATCAATGTGTGTACACGAACGGAAGAGATTTTTAAAGGGAAAGTGTGTGTTTTAAAGTCCGTTCATCATAATATTCTTGTTCTGTTTTCGGTGCGTTGGCATAATTCCCTGGCCGAAGGGTTTATTACGATTATAATTGTCTAGAAAAAAGGTCCATAATATCGGTTACTGCAATATAATAAAATTATTGGAGTATGGGATCTATGTCATCGCACTGGTCGCATTCTGAAATGCGCATTGTATGTATTTGAAAATATCTATATTTTTTTAATTACCCTTAGTTTTGTGTATAAAAAATGCAAATTAAATATACAAAAAATAAGTATTTTTAAATGATTTAATCTTAGTGCATAATTTTATTAACCATTATAATTTCTTATTTTAATAGTAAACATTTAATGGATCTTTATTTTTTAATTTAACACCAGCAAAAAGGAAAATATATATTTTGTCAGAGTATTTGTGTTTTAATTTATTTACGTTTCACTTTCATTCTCGAACGGGTGGTTCATATCAGATATAAAGTATACATCTATCTGTATAAAATATCTATATGCGTATATAAATGTAAAGAGAGTTGTATGAAGCAAGGAACACAAATTAACAAAATTAAAAATTGGCGCAATTTGCTCAACATATTAAAGGAAGATACATCTTGCAAAACAAAATCACATTTCAAAAGCAGTTACATTCCCTGATTTCCCTTTTTCTTTGATTAATAGTGGAAATTTTAAAGAATTTAGTTTAACTAATAAAACGAAGTAGCCGAAGCAAAGCCATTAAAAACTACTCGAAAAAAATTAAATAAAAAACAAGAAACACATATATTCAAATTCATGATAATAACAAAGAATAAATAATAAAAGGGAAACGCATAAAACCGAAATGAAACCAAAAACAATCTAGTTTTTATTGTAATTCCGTGTCTGTGTGTGTATTTCAGTAATTAATGTAAAAAACATAAAACCGAAAAAAAAAACAAATCTAACAATAAAATCGACAAGATCAACACAAAAAATGGAACAAAATCCAAACAAAAAAATTGTAAAAAACTAAACGAAAAAAAAAACACTGAACTTAAATAATGAAGGACAAAACATAAAGAAACTAGCGAAATAAATAAAATACAAAATATTTGAAAATAAACAATGAAGTATTTCTCATTTCATTGAAATAATGGACTTGCCTTTTGAAAAATTAAATGGATTTCAAAAGATAAGTGCACAAACCAAAATCAGGACCGTTTGCAAATTAATGCATACTGACCTGACCACTCCCTTTTAATCAAAAATAAAATTTACAAATATTTTATTTTGTCATATTTAATGTTTATTAATTAATTCGCATCTCATAATCTTTATATATAGTATACATAATTGATAGTTTAAAAAAAACTTTTATTATCAACTAAAAAGCAAATTTTTTCATTCAAATTTTGATATATATAGTATATATATTAGTTTTTTTTTTGTAATTTTCGTGTTGGTTTCATACAAAATTCGTTTAAAATAGTTTTAAAAAAATTTCAAATTTTCAGTGGAAGTCTAAGATTTTTATCAATCAAATTATCCTTTTTCGTTTCCGTCTTCCTTAGGAGTTTAAATTTTGCCTAAGCTAACTAAATTTAAGTAAATATTTAAGTTTGTTGTGTGTGTGTGTGTGCTGAACTGATATATTTATATATGTGTGTAGATATGTGTGAGTGAAAGTTTTCTAGTTAAAAACTACGTGTTCCGAGGGAGATGATTAAAACAAGGACTTTCATTAGCCAAGTTTCGATTAACTCCCTCGATTGACCACCTTGCTCTTCTTCTTCTTTCTCATTGGGGCTGTACAGCGGGCGGTGGGCGTGGCGCCGCAGTGCACAGCCCCACTGGAATCTTAAGCTATGGTTCTTAAATCCGATTTGTCGTTTCATCCTTATTTTCCATTTAACCAACACCAAGCGATTGCACAAAAAACCCGTTGTTGCTTACAACAAATTAAAAGAAAAAAAAGCGCTAAGCTAAAACAGAAATAATAATGCAGTTTAATGTAACGAACGAAATCGTTATCAAATTCAAACTCAAATTCGAATCCAGATTCAAAAGTACTTTAACTTACAGATAAAACTAAGGCTTAATTAATAATATACCATCAGATATACAGTTAGTGGTTTTGTTCATTAAAGATCAGTACAATTGGTGGTATTGCCTAAGTACTAAGATTAGTGCAAGATATAAATTCAAAGAACTATCTTTTCGCAATTCGATTTTCCATAATATGTTGTGTTTGTGTTTGTTGGGCTTTGACTTCATTCATGAACAGCTTTAGTCTAGTTTTGTTTTTGTTTTTATCGATCTTAGCCTAGGTTATTTGAATGCTTTGCCTCTTTGCAATGTGGTTTGTGATTAAGTAATAAATATTTATGCATATGGTTGGTGGTGTGTTAAATATGGTATCCTTGCTCGATTTCTTTCACGATCCCTTCCTTCCTTCTCGTGCTGAAGACAAATAAATGCAAACGTTTGCAGCTTGTTCGGTTGGTAGCTCTTAACAACTTACAGCTATATTCTTTATATACTTTCTTGTTATATATATATATTTATATATATTCCTAGGCGTACGAGTAATATTTCATAATTTGTGTGTTGCTCAAAGCATCTTCTAAACATTTTCCTTATTCCTAACGATAACTTTTTGACTAAGAAGCGGTTTTCCAAAAAAAAAAAATAATAAGAATGTAATAAACGAAAATTCAAGATTAACTATAAACATAAGTGTTCAAGTGAGAGAGATTTGCACAGCAAAGTGAGTGGGGGGTAGCGTGATGATAAGTCCTACAGATAGTAGCTAATCCTAAGGCTAGGCAAAAATATACAAAGTAAGCATAATCTCCAAAAATTCCGTATCCTCCGCGGGGGGCAGTTTTCAAAAAACTTCAAAGTCACAATATTGGTTTGCTTAAGTATTTCGCGTTCTTAGATCCTAAGTGGTGCAGCCAGCCACTAATTGTGGACTGGCATGGGCAGCTGGCCGAGCAGATTGTTGGCGAACTGCGAGTTGGTGAACTTGAAGTGCCGCTTATCGTAGAACTTCAGCAGAGCCGGCGAGAAGGGATGGTTGTTCTTCAGGTGCAGATAATGCACCTCCGGTTCGCAGGTGGTGTGGCCGCACTCCTCGCACACGTACATCTATAATAAATAGTGGACATTAGTTGTGAGTTCCCAGTCATTAAAGGCTTTATACATCCTATTAATTTTGCTAGGAATAGAAACGCCTTCTTACCTTGGCCCTGCGCTCCTTGTAGGCGTACTGGTGCTGCACACTGTGCACCTTCTGGCAGTGCGACTCCAGCGAACAGCGCTGCGTGAAGCTCTTCTCGCACAGGTTGCACTTGTACGGCCGGACGCCCGTGTGGGTGCGCGTGTGCCGCTTGAGGTCGAAGGTGTCGTTGAAGCCCTTGCCGCAGAAGGTGCACAGGTAGCGCTTGATGTCCGAGTGGCACTTCATGTGCCGGTTGAGCAGGCGCTGCAGCGAGAACGTCTTCATGCAGACGCGACACACGAACTTGTTGTTGCCCGACGAGGAGTCCTCGTTGGCTCCTCCAGAGGACGAGCCCATGCAGAGCGCTTCAGCGGATCCGTGGCTGCTGGCATTGCTGCTGGCACTGCTGTTGCTGTGGTGCTGGTGGTGTTGCTGCTGCTGCTGGAGCGACTGTTGCTGTTGCACCGACTGCTGTTGTTGCTGCTGCACGGATTGCTGCATGCTTTGCTGCTGCTGCTGTTGCTGCTGCGGCGAACCCTGCTGCTGCTGCTGCTGCGCGTGGTGGCCATGCTTGCTGAGATCATCAATGCAATCGATGTTGCGAATTCGGTGATGGCCACCGTGGGCATTCTCCACCGCCAGTGGGTTCTTGATTCCGTGTCCGCCGTTCACAAACTCCAGCTGTAGATCCGGCGGCAAGCCCAACTGTTGAGGAAATGGTAAAGGTATCGATTACTACGAGGTATTCTGGGCGATTTGGCATTTAAGGATTCAACAAAACTAAGACAATCACAGACAAACACAAACAACAGGCTAAAAAGCACACAAAATGGGGTTGGCTCCTGGAAGGACTCGTCGGTAAAAGGTTTAGTGCAGGCCCTCAAATCAAAGAAATAACCTTCTGGAGAACCGCACTGCCCAATTTACCAACTCCTCTTCCGCACTTACGCGCCGCTGCAAAACTTTGCTCTCGTTCAAAACGGAAACGGTGGGCGACGGCGCCAATAAACCGGCTGCCGTGGCCGCCGCCGCCGAGGCCAAGGAGCGCAGGGTGGTGCGATGCACCGTCTTGGTGGCCGGCAGTTCTGGCGACGATTTCATCGTGGATATCAGCGTGATCATGGTGGCGCCACAAGCCACCGCTTTGGCCCTGCCGCGCAACTTTCTCCCCGAGGAGGACGAGGATGCGCTGCAGTTTCGATGATCCGATGTGGAGTCTTGAGTTTCAGCCTTTACCGTTGCTGTTTCTGTGGCTGCCTCCGCCGCCAAGGTCACCACCTCCTCTGCCTCGGCTGTTGTCATCTCCGCCACCTCGGAATGCGATTCGAGTTTCATCTCTGGCTTGACCAGCACATCGAGCGCCACCATCTCCACAAACTCCGTGTACCTGGTCGTTTTCATCAGGGTGAATTGCTTGCTGCTCGCCGCCGGCGGCGACAATGCTGGTTGCTCCTGCTGTTGCTGCTGTGATTGGGTATTTAGTTGACGAAAAAAGGGATTACTTACGCTTTGGATGAGTGGCTTGGTGTCCAGCAGGGCGGCCGCAGCCGCTGCCGCTGCATTGGCGTCCAAAAGCGGACTGTTGCTGCTACCGCCGCCGCTGCTGTTGCTGCTGTTTGTGCCGCCCGAGCTGCTGCTGCTGCTCATGGGTCGCTGCAGGTGGGCGGCCGCAGCCGCTGCAGCAGCAGCCGCAGCAGCAGCCGCCGCAGCAGCCGCAGCAGTTGGCGATGGCAGCGACATGTTGCTGTTGTCGTGGCCATGACCATGGAGATGCGCATGGTGCGACTGTTGTTGCTGCTGCTGCTGTTGCTGGTGGTGGAAGTGATGCTGCTGCTGCTGTTGCTGCTGCTGGTGATGTTGCTGCTGCTGCTGCTGGGCATACATGTTGTGCTGCTGCTGGTAGGCGTGCTGCTGCTGCTGGTGATGCGATTGTTGCTGCTGGCTGAGCAACTGCTGCTGCGACATCATGGCAGCCTGCTGCTGGTAGCCGCCGTGCTGCGGCTGCTGCTGCATCATCAGGCCACGCGTGGCATGTTGATACGACGGCGGCGGTTGCTGCTGCACGTGCTGCTGCTGTACATTGTGCTGTTGCTGCTGCTGCTGCACATTGTGCTGTTGCTGCTGCTGCTGCACATTGTGCTGCTGCTGCACGCCGTGCTGTTGCTGCTGCACACCGTGCTGATGATGCTGCTGCTGCTGTTGATGTTGATTGCCGCCATTCCTGGCCATGTTGTGGGTTAGCTGCGTCAACAGATTCTCGTGCAGGGCGTCCAGCTGCGCCGTGTTGCCGTTGTGCTGATCCACCGGCGTCACCGAGTCGGGCGTCAGCGAGGGCGTGGACACCAGCTCGAAGTCTTGCCGCGGACTCGTCGACTCCTCGTCGTCCACGCAGCTGCGCTGCAGGAACGAGCTCAGATCAACGGCATCGGACAGCTGCTCCAGCAGATGATCCGTCTGCGAACTCAGCATCAGCGTGGCCGTAAACTGCAGCGGATCCACGGCACCGTTCGGACACTGGCCCGAAGTGGCCAGATCCGACATTATAGCATCCTCGTAGGCGCTGGCATTGAACTGCCCCGAGCTGCCCATCGTCGCCTGGATAATGTTCTGCGCAAAGGTGCCGATATCAATCTTGGCCTCATCGTACTCAATGTCCGGCTCATCCTTCAGTATAATGCCGTACGCTGAGGGATTGCCGCCGTAGAACGGATGACCCATTATCGAGGATTGACCATTGTTGTTGTTATTGTTGTTGTTGTTGTTGTGTTGATGGTGATGATGATGATGGTGATTATGGAATTTGGAATTGGAGTCGTTATAGTTAGAAACACTGGCGAAGTTCAAAAGATTATTACCATCGAGATGACTGTTTGGGCCACCAACACCGCCACAATTGATGTAGCCATTGCCACCACCACCACTGTTTGATCCTGGGCCACCACTACCACCTCCGTTTGCCCCGCCACCTGCTGCTCCTCCTCCACCGCCTCCTCCTCCTCCTGCAGTCCCCGATCCTCCCGAGCCAGCGGACATGATGTACGCGGCTGCAGCTGCGTTTTGCAGGAAATTCGCTGGATTGGCGTTGAAGTGCGCGTGATTTCCGGGACTCTGGCCCGTATTATTGCTGGCCGTGCTCTGTTGGCCGCTCTTGAGGCTCTCGTAAAAGGGCGGCAGTGCGCCCGTGGGCGGTGAATTGGGTCCGTAGTTCCCTCGGCCGTCACGACCGCCGCCCATGCCACCTCCTCCGCCGGCACCGGATCCGGGTGAGCCAGCACCACTGCCCGCGTTCTGATTGCCGCTCGAGGAGCCGCTTCCGCTGTTCTGACTGCCAAAGCCCGAGGATTGAAAGCCCTGACCGGCAGCACCACCGGAACTACTGCTATTCCGTCCGTGTCCGGCGGCAGCGGCCAATATTCCGGGCAACGAGCGCACCAGGCGCGGATTCAATCGCTGCGACTGGGCCAACAGCACTCTGGCGGCCAAGATGGTGCTCCTGCGGCGTGCCTCGCGCACCTGACGTGCCCGTTCCAGCCGCCTGGCGTTCAGTTCCTCGTCCGAATCGTACGAGGGACTGCGGCGCCTGGGCACATGGTAATCGATCGGCTCCTGTTGCTCGGGCCCCAGCTGATCGAGCGGCGGCAATAGGAACCCCGATCTGCCGATGCTACTGGTGCCGTTGGGCAACTGGGACTGCGGTGCTCGTTGGATGACCGAGCAGCGGACCGCAGGCGCTGGATCTCTGGGGGGCGGCGGACTCGGACGCTGATCCGCTGGTGGCGGTGTGCTGCTCAGGCGCAGGGATATGGGTTTCACTACCGGCAGTGGCGGCTTCTCGTCTACAATCAACTTGCAACCGCCATCGGAGTCGGAGTCCGAGTCAGAGTCGCTTTTTGGGGAAGCTGACGAGGATGGGGCGATCGATAGCGATAGGTCCTTGGGCTCTTGGGGATATTCCTTGCGTTGTGCCTGGGTTAAAACCACGCCGGTGTTGTAGAATCGCGGCCGTGGCGCCTCTACGCCCACATCCACCTCGTCTTCGTCCTCTTCCTCCTCCTGCTTCTGCTCTGCTTTGCTCTCCCGTTCGTCGGCTTCTCCGCTCTCCTTCACACGCTCTTCCTCCTTCTTCTCGTCTTCGTCGTCCGCTTCTTGCTGATTTTTTGGTATGCTGATTGGGGATTTTTCAATTGTGCAGTCTTTTGTGGCTAAATCGGAGGTGGTGGCTTTAATATTATTAACCAAACTATCGCTTTTACCAGGCGGCGTTAATGGGTTAACAATATTATTTTGTGTAGTGGTGGTGGTGGTGGGGGTTAAACGCTGCAGCAATTCAGCGGCGAAGTTTTCTGCAAGAAAAAATTTAAATTATTAATCAACAGGTGCCCAAAAACTTTGATCAATTAAAAATGTAGATAATTTGTATAGAACTTTCGAGAGGCGACTGAAGAAACAAAGGAAAATTAAGAGTTACACTTCTTCTATTTTTGATCTTTTCGCTGCGGAGATCGCCAGTTAACTGTAACAGGAATGAGTTTCTAAAGAAATGCGTCTTCATTCCTTCCCTATTCGTCAAAAGTGCAAGCGTGTGTGTGGTGTAGGTGATTTTCAAACTTAACTGTATCTGCAACAGAGTTGACAGATAACAAAATAGAAATTATGAAATTATATATGTACATACATATTTTTTCATTTGCACTTCTTCAGTTAATAGGAGTTTTATTTTATACTATGTATGTCTTATAGACACTTCCCGTAATTTCATAATATTGCAAAATGAAAAATGTATTTTTAAAATACAAAATACAATACAATACAAAATAAAATACAAAAACTAAACAAAAATCAATTTTTATTGTGGGATTAAATAAAGTAAAATCAGGTAGTATTACAATAAATAGACGAAAATAAATAAATAGGAAGGAATTTTTCAGGGTTTTAAAGCAGCTAGGTTTTTGTGCGGCACTTTTACTTTATCTTCCTATCCCCCAACTTCTATTTCATTCCTTCTCGCTCTTGCATTTAAAGCTTGGGACAAATTTTAGTCCCTTCTTGGTTTTAGTTTTTCATTGGAAGTCGACGAAGACGCTTGAGAAGATGTGAAATATTTGTGAAAAGTAAAATAAAACCATGTTCAAGGCGTAAATTAATGAAAAATCAATCAATCACAAGGTAAGTTTTTATAAATAAGTTTTTTTTAATGCCCAAATTGAAAGATTACTAGTGAAAATTAGAAATTGAAAAACCTGAGAAAATTCTCAGGTGATTTTGACTTCTTCTTTCTCCCACCCCTTTCTTTTCATTAATGCTGAAAGCGACCTCTGTCGTTTTTTCAACTATCAATTGTGAGGGCGTATTGGTTTAGACCTAATTAAAAAACTAAATAAATTGAATTGGCTTTTGAATCAATTGCGAACGGGTAATTACGGCGTTTTACCAATTGCAAGTGCAAGTGCAAAGACAAAACGGGCAAAGACAAGGTTAGCCACTAAAAGCCGTCTTGGCTTTAAATCAAAACAAGTGCAGTAAAAAAAGCAAGCAAGAAAACCTACAACAACATTGCATGGTAACTTGTTATTGCTATTGTTGTTGTTTCGATCAAGATCAAGGCTTTTTGTTTATTTGTGTGTGTTGAGTTGTTTGGTAGCGTGGGTGTTCGTGTTGTTATTGTGTTGCTTTTCTTGGCCCTTTGCGATCGTGTAATTGCATGTGTGTGCAATTACATGAGTGTGTACAATTACAAATGCCAATCACGCATTCGCTATCTCGCTCTGTTGGTCATGGCCAACTTTTGCAGTCGCCGCGCAGTCGGCTTAGCAGTCGCATAAATTCTAACTGTCAAATGCACACACACGCTTAAATGCAAAAGCACAGTTGATCAATTATTTTAAATTAAGAAAATAAATTTAATTAATTTTAATCTTTAAGTCATAATTTCTATTTCATAATTTCACTTATAAAATTATGCACATTTTACAAAATTCAAATTTCGTTCCACTGTAAACTAAAAAGCAAAAATAATTGATCGTTTGCTTTGCCGATTTAACGCATGTTTCCCAACCCCTGCGAAATGCCTGGCATGCCATTTATGTTTTTAATGGGTTAATAGACAAGCCACGCCCACATTCTACACGCCCACCTTCTACATTTTACATCGGTTCTACATGTTAAAAGCCGTAGATCATTAATGTGTGTGTGTGAGTTTGCATTGCCATAGTTGTAATTTATTTTATTGTGTTAAGGTCAAGGCGAGTTGTAAAATGTTTATAATTACACGAACACACACAGAAAACATGTTTGAGCTTGAGTTTTTCAAGTTGAAAATGAAATGCGAAAAAGGCGGCGTGTATTTGTTATATTTTTGTATCACTTTTGTGTGTTGCTGCCATGAGGAAATGAATTTCAATTGAAGTTGTATTGTGTACTATAAAAAACAAAGCACAAACATTGACCTCGAGCCAACAGCAATTAAAACAAAGTGAGAAAATAGAAAAACCAAGCACTAAAACAATTAGAATTTTTCTAGCTAAGCGGAGAGGGTAAATGGCTGATTACAAAGAATCTCCTCGTCCATCTCGGTCTCGCTAACACGGCAGAGTTCAATGCACGTTTTATCCTTTACCGTAAATCGATTTATATTCTCGCACCATCTCTTTCGCACCGTGTGTGCTTAAACTTTTCAATTTAAATTTATGCCCCACTGAAATCGGCGGCTTCCACCGATTTCGTCTAGCGCGAAATGCGTCGTAAAAACACAAAACAAAAAATGACAAAAATAAAGAAATAAAACGAAGAAAAAAACAAATACGCAAAAACGCAGAAAAAGTACGAGTTCAAATAAAAAGCTAAATATCTTTGTGTGTACATGCACTCCGAGAAAAATTCGAGTATTTTCTGAGAAAAATTCTAAACTTAAAAAAAAACCTTCGTTCAAATTAATTTAGATATTGCCATATTAATAATGTACCATTTTTAAAACAATCATTTTTACAAAACAATTTTTTTTTCAACGATTGATTTTAATGACTGATTTCTTTGTGTGTACAAATACATACTGTATATATGTAAATTGTGCATGACAATGCCGACAAAGCAAGCTTCTCGATCCAAACCGTTGAAGTTGTCGTCTAGAATTCGTAATACATTTTTTTTCGCGCCCTCTTCGTACGTATGGATTTGTTGATTTTACGGGTTGCCGCCTGCTAATTGGGTAGATGAACCCAGGTTGCTGTTAATTTCAGTATTCTGCGGGAATTTCCAGGTGATTTCAATGAAGTAGTCCCTTTGAGTGGGTGGAGATTTTTCGTACGCGTTCAGTTCCTAGTTGTGGGTTTCTGTCGCCGAATTTTGTTTTTATTTATAAAGTAGGAATGTTAAACACATTTTTTTTTCTTTATTTCAATTTTTATGCGGGTGGCACCTGAGTATTGTGGTAAATTACCAGTACTTTCCTTATAAAGATACAACCCTTTTAACCATGGGCGTTCAACTTACTGTTTATAGAAAACTACTAAATAGCAAGCGACACACAATGTTTAATGGAAACCAATATAATGGGTTTGTATTTTATTTATTTTATAAGTTCAAAATATGTATTATTTTTGCACTCATCTTTATTTCTTTTCTTCCAAATAGTTTATGTACATAGTTGAAACGAAGGAAATACATAGTCAAAAGAGAGATGGCGATTTTAGTCGAATTCCAAACGCATTCTGAGCTTATCGCATATTGAATTCCTGGCATGCACGACAACTCGATGACGGCACACACACCCATTGCCCACCTTCGGCTGCCTCCCCCTTTGGGCCAACCGTCCTTCTTGGTCTTGTGCTTCTTCAGGTTTGTTTTATAATTTGTTTTTTTTTCTGTTTATTTGTTGTTGTATTTTCGTGTGGTTCTGTGTGTCTAATTGAAAATGCCAAGCACGTTGACAAAGGCGGTAACGTTTTCCAAGCAGCTCTGCCCATATACAAATACATACATTTGAATGTATATCTCTGAGGCTATATATGAATATATCTAGTTATATAGTTGGCTATATAGTTGGCTAAACAATGAATAGATCCAGACCCAGCCCAACGTTTTAGTGGCCCTCTTGGGTCCACGATGCTATTGATAATAACGCTGATCATGCTGCAATATCTATTGACCCCGATATTAATAACATGCACCAGGTGCTGTTCTCTTGATTAGCCATTGTTCGAACATTAAGTAATGATCGGATCTGCCAGATAACTACTTTGGGTTGTAGCAAAACTGAAACGCTTACCGAATAACCTGCCATGATTTGACAAATCGTTGATAAAAATCTAATTACTGGGGTATTTGAATCAGTTGCCATAGCTGCCTTGCAGTTTTAATAAGTTCATAGTTGGCTTTCTTGAGTAATTTTTAGAAACAGAGCATTACGAACATGAAGCAATGGCTAATGTCAGCCCTCCGTTGAGCCATGAACCTTTAGCCAACCGCCCACAGGTGACCCACTTCAAAAAACGCATTGATCCACCCCAGCAGCCAGCCATCGAAACTTTTGCTTTCGCAAAAGCTAAAAACAAACCAAAACGCTTGCAAATGTCGAACGGAATTTAATAGAGCATGAAGGCAGGCAGAAAACGTTGACAAATGCGAGAAAAAAGTCGGTGCGGTTTGAAAATGAGATGGAAATGAATGCGAGAGTGGCGGAGTAGTGTCATCGATTAGCCGGCAGACAGCTAATCAATTCCCTGGCTAACTGACAAGTGCGTGTTTTCTGCTCCTTTCAAATGTCCAGCAGAAATAGAATAGCAGATGCAGAACCCTTGTCAAGAAAGGGGAAAAAGAAGAGGAGACGGCAGGAAGGAGCTTCCTGCGATCCTGCCAAATTGATGAATGCATCCGTTTGAAGGAAGGAAGTTCGAGCTTCTAACAGGTGCTTTTTTTCGTGAAGGTCCTTTCCCCGATCCTTTTCCCTTATTTATTTTTTTTGCGCTGACCAAATGACCTAATGTCCGCGCGCTTCCCTTACAAATTATGTAGTGTAGTGTAAAAGCCTAAACAGCGAACCCTTTTCTTTTTTGCGGATCCTGGCTGGCAGCATTTAGCAATTCTAATGCCAAAAGGAACCAAGTGTTGTGCCAACCCATTTGCAACACGATCCGATCCGATCGGATATTGTTTTTTTTACTCTCTTTACTTTTTTCTGTATCAAGATCAAGATCGTTCGTTTTTTTTTTTTTTTGGTTTTTTGTTTCTGGGCAACAGACCCTCGGGACAGTCTATAAATTTATGGGCTCCTTTTCTCGCTCCCCAAATGAATTTGTCTCTAACGCCCAATTTGGCTTTCGGGTTTTTATTTTTGTTGATGTTTTTTTTTTTTCGGTTAAGGTTCTTTGGGTTTCTTCCGCTTCAGCTGCTGTTGATAGTTCGATTTCTAAGGGCTTCCAAGGTCTTTATTAGGCCCTTCCGTCTCGGGTTACCCACTCATTTTATTTCGCTGGCCGCAGCAAACTTAAAATGCATTAAGTGCCATGCAATTAAGTTTTATCGATCGTCGAAAATCTGCCCATCGCGATTGCCGCTTTGTTATATATGTATTTATAAACATGCCTTGTTGTCCGCTCCACATATGTATTTAAGTATATAAATTATAAATTGCCGACGCGTTAACAAAATAATTTCGTTTAACTTAATTACATTTTTTGCGCTTGCTCGGGTGATGGGTTCTTGCTGGTTTTTTTAAGGTTTATTTTTGGGACTTTACCAAAATGTCCACTTTAATACCTTTCCAGTTCGATACCTAAGTCTTTTGTAAAACAAGGGGATCTACGTAACAAGTTGATCCGATACTTTATTATCTTTAAAATATGAGGTTTTTAAGGAATCTTTAATGGGCTTTAAGCGCAGTTCTTGACAGAATAAATTTTGAATGAAGTTTGTTGTCTAAGTCTTTTGTTTGATACAATTTCAGCAAGTTTTCCACCCCAATCTTAAAAGTATATATGCTTCTGCTGGTGACTCGTTTTCAAGGTCGAAATTGCAACGAATTATGGCCGCTGCTAAATGTTGGTTAAGCATTTAGTGTTTTAGTGTGTGAGATATCGCTGCTTGTCATCATCAACGTTGCCAACTACTCAGGGCCTCCGACTTGTAGCGTCTTAAATTGCAAACCACATGGATATGGTCCGAGTGTTATGTGTGTGCGTGTGTTTGTGCCAACAGAAACATTTTTACACAGAGCAAAAATATGCAAAAGAATGCCAGTTCAATGCTTGCTGAAAAATAAACGCAACTCCACTGATTGTTTCTAATATTTATTCTAGTGTAAAACTGTATGAACTAAGATGGTTTTTATTTTGGAGTAAACTTTTAGTAAAACAATTCTTTGCGTGTAGCATACACAGTTACAAACAAGCTGTGCTGACATGTGCTACGTTTTGTGCAGCTGCTAATTACAGTTGCTTTTATTTATTCGCTGCCAGTATGCATTTGTTGTTGTTGTTGTTGTTGTTGTATTTGCTGTTGCTTAGTGCTGTTCTAATGCAGCTTTTATGTGTGTTTTCAATTTGTTGCTTGCTTTTTTTGGTATTAATGTCAATGCTAACCTTGCTCTCTTTCATTTGACTCGTTTACATTGCAATTTGTGCTGTTATGTCGCTTAGACTTGAACTAAATGTGACATTGACAAATGCCAAATATGTTAGCCAAACAGATGGCAAACCGGTGATTATCCTGGATGGAGGGATAAAGACAATACTAAAACGCCCATTTGCCAAAGGAACTAATATCAGACAAAATTATAGTAAACTTTGCTTTGCAAAATTAAAGTCATTTCAATCTTAACCCCATCGAACCACCTTTGACCCGACTTTACAAACAAATTGGGAACGCACTAAACAAAAGTGCAACAAACTGTTTAACAAAAATAATGGAAAAGAAGCTGGGGAAAAACTGAAACAAAAAACAGTTTGTTTGCACACGACTAGGCTATCTTCTTTTGTTTTTGTTGCTCGTGCATTTGAATGGGGCAAAGTTTTAACGCAATTGCGTTAAATGATTTGTAAGCCAATGCGGCAAAAAAAAACGAAACAAAAATCGGAGGAGGCTGCACCCTGTTGTTTTTGTTGTCGCTGTAAAATGTTAATGAGGCAGGCACGAACTGTGAACGGAAAATCGCTTTTCGGTTCTATATACAGGGTGCGCCATCTCGAGCTTCGGTATGAAAATATTAAATAACTTTGGAAAAAAACAAAAATTCATGGAAAATGTTTTACATATATTTAGATTGATCCTTTACAATTCATTTGAGTTAGTTTTTGAATACAATATCGACTAAGTGACTTCCTTTGTTCTTGATGGCAAAAAGTGTCCTTTTTCGAGCATTTTCCATTATTTTCTTGAGCAATCGGCCGATATATTGGCCATTTCGGTGCGAATACTCTCCTTGAGCTCTGTGATGGTCTAGGGCTTGCTTATGTATACCCCACAAAAAGAAATCCGGCGGGGTCAAGTCCGGCCAGTCGATATCGCCTCTTTTTGACACAACGCATCCAGGAATTTTGCTGCAAAAACTGCATGGTTTCGTTTGCTGTCTGACATGGGACCCCGTCCTGCTGAAACCAGAAATTTTCTAGACCCTTAAAAAACTAACTCAAATGAATTGTAAAGGATCAATCTAAATAAACATAAAACATTTTCCATGAATTTTTGTTTTTTTCCAAAGTTATTCAATATTTTCATACCGAAGCTCGAGATGGCGCACCCTGTATATATATTCGTATATATCGTTAAGAGATCTTGGGGTAGTCAATAGTCACTTGAGAAATAACTACAAAAGTGTATGGAAAATTATCAGGTGCGGTTTTTAAAATATTTTGAAAACTTGAGGGTTATAAACTAATCGTACTTGCGGTTTTTGAACTATCAAAAAATATTTCATTATTTAAAAACTTCTGTTTTTCAAACATTTTAACTCTGCGATTTTGATGAAAAAATAAAAAGTATTCGAGCATAAGTCATATGTGGCTCAATTGGCTGTAACAATTAGCACATGCACATGGGCAGCCTTCGATGCTGTTGTTTTTTTTTCGCAGTTAGTCAGTCCATTTAGTCTGTCAGTCAGTCAGTCAGTCAAACAGTTGGCTCAATTTGACCGGCTGCAATTGTATGGTTTTAGTAGCTGTTTAGCATGCTTCTTTGTGCAACCGACACACAGACAAATGAGACACAAAATTTAGGTCAACGCATATAATATATTCATTCTGAAAATGCTTCTCAATTGGCAAGTGTTCGTGTGAGTTTTGTCTATATCAATATTTATATTTGTATTGGTCAGTTCCACAACACAACAGCAACAACAATGGCGAACAAAAAAACAATAGAAAAACGGCAAACACTTAGTTGACAAACTCATTTGCTGTGAAAAAAACAAAAACAAAACGTAACGGAAATTCATCAATTGCAATACAGTGGGTATTTGATATAGTTACTTTCCTGGGTAATCGGTGATGTAACTAGTTCTTTCGGCGGCTTACTTCAGCCTTCGATCCAGGTGGCTTTAAATTAATTGCATGCACTTGTTAATGAGACAAGTGATGAACCTTTTAAGAAACTAGTTTCGGGGATCACTTCACATATATATATTTACCTTAATTAAGCGATGCGTTTTTATTAAGCCTGTTTTTTCAGGGGTACTTGAGTGAGTTTAAAATTGTAACAGCCAAAAAATGCAATGGTCGCTGACACTTAAAACCTTCAATCTTTAAAGGGCTTCTGGTACATTTCCCTTCGCACTTGTGCTTTTCAGTTGTGTATTTCCCCTGCATTTTCTGTTTGTTTTCGTTTTCCCAACCGCATCTGGTTAA